TCGTAAAAAAGAAAATCAGGCAGGTCTCGTGCCCAAGAAGTCAATATTTCGCGTAGCGGAAAGGAAAATCACGAGTCTTTCTTGAAATCACGTTCCAAAACATAGGACGATGCGATATAGGTCAATTTTTTGACAGCTCGATGGTCGAGAAAGTGTGAAGCACGCAGAGACGTAAACAACCGATAATAGAGCATATTGAAAACGGAAATCGTTTCTATGTCGAGTTTATGCAGGATAGTTTGAAGAGTCATTTCCTCTTTATTTTTAGACGCTATTATTTCGTCCAAATATCTGATACGGTACGATAAGGGATGACAAAATGTCTTCACAGCCGCTGAATCAAATAAAAAATCTCTCACTTGAAATTCAAATGAATGCGACTAAAGTCAGAAGTCGACAAATAAATATTATAAGTCAGTAAACGGGCGTGTTTTGACTTTATAAATCGTTGTCATAACATTTTTGTGCGAGAGACAAGAACACAGGAAATATTTTAACTAGGTGTTAAGCGCTAATATAAGCTAATTTACTTCGGAAAAACATAAATATCCTTAATCTGACCGTTTAGTCAAAGAACTTCGTATAACTCCAGCTGTAAAAGCTTCACCAAATCTGTCATACTTTGTAATTATTTCTCGAAAATCTATAAATCCTCTAGAGTTCATAATAATCTTTCGATTTTGCCCATCACGTTTCCGCGAAAAAAATTCGAGAAATTGTATTGAAAAAATATCTGCAATAAAATAAAAATTAAAAATAATAATTTAAATAAAAATTGTAAACCTCAGGATTGATTGTCCTTGCACATATGTGCATATTGAGATATAGTATTTTTACTTTGATTAATGTAATAATAAAATGTCTGCAGAGAATTGCGTATAATAACGTAAAGCGCACCGCATATTAATATCGTCCGGAAAATCGGGAAATAATAAAGCATCGATAACTTCTAAATAATTAAAACGATAATTATTCGATAATAGCCGCTGAACTTCGATCCATTGACATTTTGGGAGCGATATCGCAATTTGTATTCGAAAATTAGACTCATCACAGAGAATGCTATTCAGAAGTATGTTCGAGTGGATAGAACATTACATATTAGATATCATAAATACTTCAACATTCTCTAGATATATTTTTAGGTATATCTTCGGGAAGAATACATATTTATATATGACACATAGTTAACATTCATTCAGATAAGATATACATAAAACGGAGACTGTTTCTTTTTTTTTTTTTTTTTTTCTCTCCTCCTTCTCCCATAATACACTTTAGGATCACGTACAATACATCATTTTTCGGTCATCTTATTGTTAGCCTTATCTTCCATGTGTGTTTTATTGTCTAAGCGGCTCTTTTACCGGTTATCGCTACCTCGCATCAATAGAAAAACAGAATGTTGCTTTTGAAAAACTGCTTTTTTACAATAAATTAATCGTGCATTCCTATCAATATTTGTTAATGTTCAGTCTAGACTGGAATCTTATTGTGCATTATTTACAGATAAAGACAGTAGCAAGGTTATTAATATTTCACATTTCTACTTTGAGTTCGAAACAAAAAGAATTCAGATGATTCATCCAAATCTGCGTGTATAAAAATGTGAAAAAACTTTCTAAAATGTTAGCGATATTCTTGAAAAGAATAAAATATGGCCCCTCTTTGTTTCTACGTATTTGACAAGGCAACGACTAACGGCAAAGCAAAATTAGAGGGAAAGGATCATAGAGAATTTAGCGGTTTCCGAATTTAACCGCCGAAAGGGTTGAAGGGGTGGACTGTTGTGGAGGGGAGAAGGGAAACAACCGCGAACGCGGGAACTGTCGCAGGAGAGTGTCCGGGCATATTGAGCCACTTAAAAAACGATATTTCGATGTGTGTGCTTTATCGGGCACGAACCTGGCGCAGACCGGATAGTCACGTGCTGTGCGTGCCTCGTCGAGGATTTCCCAGATTTGCGATCCCCGAATCTCGCCGAGACCGTCCTCCTATCTGCGGACGAAAACCCGGCTCCGCGGCGACGGGGCACCCTCGATCAGCCGAAGGCAAAAATAATAGACTCGTCGCACGTTTTCATTCCCCGGCGTGGCGAGATCGGCGGCTATTATCTGCTTCACCCTCGTCCTCAACGCAAAAACCCTTCGAGGATAGGCGCAATCACGAAAATTCCACCCTAAACATTTTCGCGCGAGAGATGATGGCGACGTTGAAATTGGCGATTTCTTCAGAATCGATTATGTGATCAATTTTTATAAGCGATACCGCTTTATTTAGACTTTTCACTACTAATATATTTTATTTGTTATAGTCTCCGTTAATTTTACGCCGGTTAAAAATTTTCGTTGTAGATGCGAAGGTACTGCAATGTGTTTAATCGTCAAATAATTAACCAATTCAATTTTCATTGATTTCTTTTAGTCACAAATATTTCGCATTCATTTAATTTAAAATAATAATAAAACATATGATCTTTCTTAATTATCTCTCTTCTAGATTTACATACAACGTGTTTATAAAGTAATCTAATAATTCGTGACAATGTTTGATCTTGATCTTGATAGACTTTAAAACTAAAAAAAAAAAAATTAAAAATGAATTTTCTTGTAGCAGATTAAAAATTTGTTAAAGCAAAAATTTTTATTTCTTAATTCGACGAAAAAAAAATGTTTTTACCGCACTTTTCTATTAAATAGGCGATTATTTCGAATAATTCGTGCAAAATGTTAAAGAGAATACGCAATGTTCTGTAACATTTTCGAGACTCAGAAGCGAGCCAGGGAAGATTTTCGATATTTTCCGAGAGCGAGAAGGACGTTCCTGCAGCGGCGAATCGATTGTGCAAACAAGAGAGCGCCCCCGTCTACCGCGTCCTCTCGTTAAATTTCTGTTTCACCGTTTCAATGCAAACGTTGCGAGATATAAAAGTTGCAAGCAGGCCATCAGGCCAATCCGAAAAGTTTTGCTCTGTTTGCTCGCCGCGTCTAACTTATTAATAGCGTATAATCGCAAATAGATCTTTATTTATATATGTGTAACATTTTCGCCTAGAATATTTGCTGAACGCGTATTTCTTATCAAAATATTTTAAATTATTTGTTTTTCAATGAAAAATTAATTGGGCATCATTTTTTTCGATTCTTGAGAATATTAAATTTTAAATATTCAGATAAAAAAAAAAGATTAAATGTAAAGAATAATATATCAAATAAGTTTCAAGTTAAGATTTTACTAGGGTCCGTTTAAATTTGATTAAATATTTGAATAAAAATCCAAAGCATTTACTGTTTTGTCTTTGCACATCTAGATATAGTTTATATCTTAATAAGAGGATAGAATTTGTAAATGACAATAGAAATATATAAAGTAAACTATTAACTACAAATCTAATGATATATTTTCTCATCTTCAGATAATATTTTGTGCCTAGGACTCGAAAAATAATTCCTGTTTTTGAAAAATATATACGACAACGGTTTCGATATCTTCATCTGTATTCACATCTCACTCTTAACTAAGTATGTCTCTGCGATTTCGAAATTTTTTACTGCTCTTATATGAAGAATATACGAGCCGAAAAACCCGCACTTAATGTTAAGCGTGGACACGCGTTTCGGTCATTTTTAACGAGCCGTGGTCGTGTCGCGTAGCATTAGTCGAAGTCGATCGATGAAAGCATTGGAAGACAGACAGGCAGGCAGGTGGTAGATGAGTCGCGCCGATCAAACGCCTCGAATTGGCAGCGATTTCTCGACCAGCGGCCGCAGCCATCCCTGTCGGCCAGCCGCCACTTCCGTCGAGTCAATTTTAATAATTCCACCCTCTACCTCCCCTACGATCCACCTTCGTACCGCGATGACTCGCACGATTTTTCCGGCAGCTTTCAATTATCCGAGGACCCGCGCTCCCACGAACGGGCTCGCGAAATATCGATCGCTCGTCGCTCTCTCTCTCTCTCTCTCTTCCTTTCTAAACGATCGTCGCGTTAGCGGGCGTAGGCACCCGCACCGGAAGTAGGCGGAACGAGAAATTACGAGTTGTAGTAACGAGAACGCGCGTTATCGTCGTCCGTAATTACGACTTTTACGATCTCTAGAAATATGTTCGAGCCGTTGGTCGGTTCTAATTGGCTGACTGTTACATGGAGTGTCCCCAAATTACCGCGTACACGACAGTCTTCCTCGTAAAGAGTTGACTATTTTTCCTTAACGAAATTGCCAAAGAATCGATAGTTTGATAAGTTGTAACACGTTAAAATTGATAAACTTTTCAAAGACTTTTATAATCACCGTATTTATTCAATTAATTTCGCAGGTATTTTATTTTGACGTAAGATACTTTTTAATTTAATTTTAATGTAATGTGTTCAATGTTAAAATCATATAAAAATACGTAATATTCAAGCAGAGTTTTGCAATAGAAAAATCATCGTTGATACAAAGATAACTCAAAATATAGGTATACTCTGTATTACAATTATTTTTAGCTGCTTAATTAATGTTGTGTTTAAAATTGAAAGCACAAAACTCGGTAATAAAATACAATACAATTATAATTCGTATAATTGTAATAATCCGTAATATGATATATCAATCCTAATTAACTCAGCAAATTTTTATAAAAAATCAATAATTATTTTATAAGAAAATAAATAATAGGCAGGAAATAAATAATAGATTATAATTAATTTCATAAAATACGAATAATTTCGTAATGTGTGTATCGACAGATTAATTATTTGCAAACGATGAACATCGTATAATGCAATATTATTAATTATCATTTCATATAAAATACAACGCCAAATTTTGCTAAATATAATAACATTAAAACAATATTATTATAAGATTGAACAATATAGTTGCAAGTATAATTTTACATTATAAGAGAATATATTGTTTGATGATTAAAAATGAATAATATTGGCCAGAAATGTGTTGTATGTAATAGGTAAAATTGTTATATATAATATAATACACTTTACTACGGAAAATATTTTTCTATTCATCTTACAGGAAAGAATATTACCGCATCAATAAGGATTTCAAATCCTTTAAAAGGCTAAAAACCAAAGTAAAAACCAAAAATAAAAATTATGTCGGCACAGATGGTGTATGTAGTAAAACCGGATAAGTGTTCTCTACACCAGGTAATATATCCTCTAATATATCCTTTTCGGTTGCGGAAAACCGACGTTTTCAGTCAGTCGGTGAACATGAAAGAGAAGGAACTGAGACTGTGAGAGAAAAACGCTGTCATAAAACAATAATCGATTTAAAAGGGCGGCACGTTTTGCTAGACCTCTTTCCTGAAATTTTTGGAGGGTTTTAGATTATTTTAGAAAGGCGCAAAATTCTGCCGAGCAATTAAATATCTATATAATGTAACATATTATATATATATATATAATAAAAAGATAAATTCTCTAGCAAAAAAGTTCCTAAGCTGTATATTAAATCTGTTTTCTAGATTGAATATTCTTTTAGTTTTAATTATTATATATGTTTATTACATATTGTTCCGTTGCATTTAACAGTTGAAATTGTTGATTCAATGTGGTCTCGCTATATCGAAAAGTTTATACACATTATTTAATTTTCTTGCTTTAAGTATCAATAAAATAAAAATAGAACGAATTATAATAATATATAATAAAAGAGATGATTTTTTTCAAAAAAAAAAAATAGAACGGAGACTTAATTTTTATCGTTATCAACTTTATCTGAATTATATTTTGTAATAAAAAAAGCTTATTGTCTTTTTTATCAAAAATTTGTCCGATGCCTTTAAATGTCAAATTAAGATTTCAAAAAACTGTAAAAAGTTTGAAGTAAATCATATACAAAAAAAATCAGAAAAAAAATTATGTTTCCGCATTATATTTATCTTTGCTCATTTGTCGATGGACCGAATCTAAGCAATATCGACGCCATCGATATATTGAACCTTTTATTGTTTCAGTTCGATCTTCGTGGGAGGCAGCGCAGCGCGTAAAGATAAACATCCATACGCAAGAATAACATCTTTCAGGTCCCTCTAATCACAACACTTGGAGGATACCTCGTATATAAGCGAGGAACACGAGTAAGAAAACACTTTTGATAGAGCCATCAGAAAAAAAAAATGAGAAAACGATCTGGTAATTTATCAATGCAGATCATTATTCAGGATAATACATAGAAAAAATCGTGTGTATAACGATTGAAAATAAATTAATAATTTCTTGGAGTAATAGATTACAGAAAAAAAAAACTAGCACAAGTTATCGGTAAATTAATTCGAAAATTATCTGTTCAAACCGACTTTAACGCAAATTAAATAAATTTCATGAAATCTTGTGACGCAGCAATTAAATGACTGGATTAAATAAGGAAGCAACAATATGAAGTGGTAACAAAAAGCGTCAGAAACAAAGTTATATATATACAAATTTGATAAATATAAAATTTTTAAGTTGATCAAGATATTTTTATATAATGTAAGATAATTAAATATATTTTATGAACATTATATTTTAATATAATATAGTATTATTAATACTAATATTAATAGTATTATATAATTTAATAATCAAAGTAAATTGATTATTTTATATATGTAATTTTATTCGGATTATTTTGATACATTCCACGCTGTTCTACAACGTTTCGCAAAATCGTAATAATTGAAAATAGAACGACGATTTGAGCTATGCTCGATTCTAATGGCACTTCGAGTTCGTTAAAGAGGATAGTTACATCATCTACACATCACATAATATTTGCGAATGTCTTAGATGCAATTATCAATTAATAAGTCGTTCGAGATATTCGGGAAACCCTTTTTAGCTCCTTTATGTTATACGAATAAATAAATAGATAAAAAGATCGAGCTCTATATAGAATTTTACCAGATTTTGCCAGTATATAAATTTGCTCTGCAAAAAATAATGAATTGATATGAATAAAGGAATTGATGCATAGTAAAATTGTGAATTTTCATAATTCACGAATTTTCGATATCAAAAATTAGTTTCAAAAATTTGGAATTTATTAAAAAGTTTGTTCTATTTCTTTCTCATTTTTTTGTAGTTCTTCTAAGAAAATTCAATACTTTATTCTTTAAAACCAAAATGCGGTAAACTTGTTGTTTTATATTGCAAATGGAATTATATCACTATACTCACACAATTATTTTACTACACTCTACAAAAAAAATATCCAAGTTATTTGTTTAATTCCCAGTTTATTTCTCTTAGTATAATTAAACTCCTCGATTTTAAAAATTGGAAGTACATTTTCGCAGAATAAATTCCTGTCAATTCATCTTAATCCAACTATTTTTCACAGAATGCAGAGGTATCTCGACGCGAAACGTGTATCAACGGCGAGATAAATGGATATTACATACATTTTAGATGGAGGCACATATGAAACTTGCGATACGACGCTATACTTACCTTAACGAACAAGTTCGGATAGGTTTACCTTATCGCAGCAGTAACTTATGATTATCCCGTGTTCCGAACAAGTTTAGTACAAATTAACCTCTACCGATCTACATGAAGTAAAACGGATAACGGTTGCCCGTCACGGAGTTGTAACAATGTTATGTTATACAGCGTATCTAAGCCTTATTCTTTGTTATAACGTTAAAGTCACAATCGCCCACGCGACGAATAGTATCGCGTTTATTTTCGACCGATTTCTACAAAAAGTTATACAAAATATGACACGGTATCTGCTTACAATATGCGATTAGAGCGTGTTATCACTCATAAAACTACGTCTATGTTTATTGCCAGTTGGGGGATATATTGGTAGGAATATCTGTCGTAATAAACTGCAGAATGTCTATAAAATACATGTCGTCTACGTATAAACGATATCGGCGAAGACACGATTAAGTGAATAAATAAATCTGCATATACACTATTCCAACACACTGTATGATAGTTTGTGATTCAAAGTTAGAAAAAATCTATTTAATCAGAGTGATAAAATCGTAGCTAATATGGGCAGTCTCAGCTAAAAAGTTTCTAATTCTAATATGTTTCCATAGCACATCATGAACGTTTAATCGCTCCGAAAGGTAACAATTGTGCCAATCAACGATACTTGTTAATTCATTTGCAGCTCACAGTAGTTTATATCAATCGCATACATTTTATATATAGAGTGTTAAAGATATTTCTATATATTGAAAACCCTTAAGGAAATATATAAGTACTATTATAAAAAATTGCTTAAATATTTTTATGGAATAAAGTATGTATCTACCCGCGATTTTTAATAAATATATGTAAAGATGGCTAAAAAACAATAACAACTATTGTCAAATACGAAATTATGATAAACCTATGTAAAGATACGATATATACGTATATATTTGGAATAATTTTTCAAATATATAATCGGAATGATATAATATATCGATGTATGATTCCAGATAAAGGAAAATAATTTAGCAAGATGCTTAAACACATTAAAAAATTATTTTTATGCCAATATATAATCTATTAACATTCATAAAATCCGTAAAATGTATATCAAGTTTTGTTGAAAGGCATAAATAGGAAAAAAGTTTTTCAAATTACGTTACATTTTCCGTACTACGTCCAAAAAATATATTTTTACAGGATGATTGTCAAGTAAGCTTATTGGTAATGAGCATTAGATAAGATAAAATATGATATGATAATAGATAAGAGAGATATGAAATTATCCCTTCGCGGCCCAAATTACTTTCCACAAATGAGCGAGTATTAAGTTGCGTGCTCAGTTTAATCATATTTCGTGGGTCAATTATTATTACGTAGCTAATGGCAGTCTCAGCTAAAAAGTTTCTAATTCTAATATGTTTCCATAGCACATCATGAACGTTTAATCGCTCCGAAAGGTAACAACTGTGCCAATCAACGATGCTTTGCAGCTCACAGTAGTTTATATCAATCGCATACATTTTATATATAGAGTGTTAAAGATATTTCTATATATTGAAAACCCTTAAGGAAATATATAAGTACTATTATAAAAAATTGCTTAAATATTTTTATGGAATAAAGTATGTATCTACCCGCGATTTTTAATAAATATATGTAAAGATGGCTAAAAAACAATAACAACTATTGTCAAATACGAAATTATGATAAACCTATGTAAAGATACGATATATACGTATATATTTGGAATAATTTTTCAAATATATAATCGGAATGATATAATATATCGATGTATGATTCCAGATAAAGGAAAATAATTTAGCAAGATGCTTAAACACATTAAAAAATTATTTTTATGCCAATATATAATCTATTAACATTCATAAAATCCGTAAAATGTATATCAAGTTTTGTTGAAAGGCATAAATAGGAAAAAAGTTTTTCAAATTACGTTACATTTTCCGTACTACGTCCAAAAAATATATTTTTACAGGATGATTGTCAAGTAAGCTTATTGGTAATGAGCATTAGATAAGATAAAATATGATATGATAATAGATAAGAGAGATATGAAATTATCCCTTCGCGGCCCAAATTACTTTCCACAAATGAGCGAGTATTAAGTTGCGTGCTCAGTTTAATCATATTTCGTGGGTCAATTATTATTATATAAAAAATAATTATTATTGTATAACAATCAATATTATTTGAAGGAATATATTTATGGGAAAATATTCCGGAAAGATAATTTGTTAATTATAATCATACATTGTTTTGAATGTTTGGAAAATTATGCGAAAATTGTCATCACAAACATTACGTCATATCTAGTCACGTCTCGACATGGGACTAAATTAGGGGGGAAGGGGAAGAGAGGGTAAAATAGCTAAGTTAGAGTGAGAAGAACAGAATAACAAAAGGAATAAATCCAAAACATAATAAAAGAAAAGGCAATATAACAAAAAATTGTCTAGATTAACATAACATTGATCATGTAACAAATAAATTTGCGCGCCATAAATATGCAAGGGCGCGAAATAATTTACGAAAAGTTGTATATCATTCTTTCAAAGTCACACATATCGGAAAACTATTTAATCGCGCGTTTGAATCATTCAAATTGCATCGCGCAAAGTGCAAGGCAAATATCAATATATATATAT